AAAAAAAAAAAAAAAAAAGGTGCTGGCACTTGTCTCTAAGTTTATTTTGTCTCCAGGCTGGCCAGTCACCTGAATTTCACCTGTGATTCGGTCTCAGTTTTAAATCTCCTTTTTATGATTGGTTTGGTCGTGGGGAGAGACTCTGGAGCGGAAAAGGACGAAGTTCACGTCGACCCTGAGGGGCTGCCCCCCGGAAACGGATTGGCTCACGCCTCGTGTGTCGTTCGCCCAGGTGTGCCCATGAGGGATGTGGGAAACACTTCGCCTCCCGCAGCAGGCTGAAGAGACACGGGAAGGTCCACGAGGGTGCGTACGGGGGCCCCTGTGGCACCAGCTTTGAGTAGACACTAACCGCGACGCGTGCCGGCTGGCCTAACACTTTGAGCGGAAAGCGCCTTCTTTTCTGTTCTACGGCCACGCTGAGAAACTCGGCACTGTCCAGGCGGGGGCGGCACGCCGCAGCTCGAGGTGTTAGGCTCTCGACCGGAGGCCCGCCTGTCGCCTGTTCACTCACCGCTCTTGTCGCCGTTGGCAGCGAACGCTTTATGCCCTGCGCGAGTGCCTGGCGGTGCGTTACACTTCTGAGTGCGGCGCTCCAGCCGAGGTTGGCTTCACCACCATCATTTAAACGTCTTCACGACCTGGGTCATTCTTTTCCTTACTGGCACTCGCAAGGCTTGGGTAACAGTTTGAGATTCTGGAGGAATCAGGTCGTAACTTCTTTCAGAAAGACTGGATTAAAATTACCTGAATCTGTTCTGTTTCCACGAGGGACGTTTTTATATCTGTATTCCGATTTTCTGAGTATAGAACATGTTTTTGGGTTGTTGTTTTTTTTAAAACGAGAGAGTAGTAGGTGAAGCCTGAGAGGTGGCCTCGCTCCTTTTGGTTTCGCTCTGGTATCTCGTGGGTGAAACACGGGCTGGCTGTTACCCGGACTGATTCTTCCAGCTGCGGTGCTTTGCACAGTGTCCGCTGTCGTCCGCAGCGTTTCCTCTGGGGTCTTATTTTCTCCCTTAGTCGCAGCCCGAGTCTTTTCTGCAGCGCAGAAGCTACCAGATGGTAAGACTTGAGGCGGCCAGGGATGGGCACACAACCACCGAGACTCAGTGTTGGTGGTCTGGCGAACGCAGAGGACCCCAGAGCTCTGAGGAAAACAAGAGGCGAGCACAGAGCAGGGAGGGAAGGGACCGTGAGCCAGCGGCCGGGGAGTGACGGCAGCCGGGAGCCCACGCGCGGTCTACCCAGCTCACTGACCACAGCGGGAGAGGGCACGGCATCCTTCCGTGGAGTCTGCTGAGGTGAAACCCTACGTGCAGTGAACGCCTTGCTGTGCGATCGTTGGGTTTTACTGTAAAACAAACCTTAGTTTTTATTCCCACCTCCGACGGCTGACAGAACAGAATGGTTTGGGAGGTAGGAGGGCAACTGTATAGGCTTGTAAGTTTCCTTTCCAATGACGAGCGGTGTTTACGCTGAATATTCACAGAAGGCGATGCGCCAATCTGCTTTTTCCTACACAGGCTACGTGTGCAAAAAAGAATGTTCCTTCGTGGCAAAAACGTGGACAGAGCTTCTAAAACACATGAGGGAAGCCCATAGAGGTGAGGCAGATGTGCGTGGCGCAGTGTGACATTTGCCCCTGCGGTTTTGGAGAGTGAAGTGCTAGGCGTGTGCCTTAAGACAAAGGCGTTCCCGTGACGTTTGTGAAGCTGGTACCTCGGTGGCCTGGCAGACGCACGGGAGCCGGGGTCCCGGGTCGGGGAGGAGCCGCCGTGCAGTTAGCGGCCGGAAAGTCTCCGGCAGGGGGGGCGGTCTGGGAGGCGGTGCCTTCTGTACTGGAGGCCGAGGAAGGACACGGGTCTACTTCATCTTGTCCCCTGCCCACGGCCACCAGGCTGAGAACCCCTGCTCCCTGGTAAGGGAATGGAGTGACTCCACGTAATATCCGCACGTGGGAGCATCGAGACCGGCTTCCGAGCAACAGACACTGCAGCCGGTGTTCGGATTTATGATCATCGTGACCTTTTTGGCCCCAAATACCTGCCTTACAAGCTCAGCGTTAATTTTCCCGAGTGGCGATACCTGGGGAAATGGGTTAAGTGTGTGTCTGCTCCACCAGAGGCCATAAGATGTGACGTCTGCCAGAAAACCTTTAAACGCAAGGATTACCTGAAGCAACATATGAAGACTCACGCCCCGGAGAGGGAGGTGTGCCGGTGTCC